TTATGGATGCGATGAGAATGAATCAAGATCATGTTGGTCTATGTCCAATCATAGATGAAAAACTTAATGTAAACGTGACCATGTTTTTTGATCTTTTGAAAGATTCTAATGAATCATTCTAGGATTGTTACACAAATACAATAAATTATTGGTTATTGCACATGGTATAATAGTAATTTTACTGTATTTCAAAGTGCAAAAAACCAAAAAAAACCTGGGTCAACAACTCAGTTTTTTTTTACTCTAGGGGTAAGTAAATATTTTAGTATTTTTGAAAAGACTAAAAAATCCTTAAGCAACTACTAAAGAAATTGTTAAATCTAGAGAGAAAATTATATTTTTATTATAAAAAAAATAAAAAATACTAACATATCCTTAAAGAATCTTTCAATGATTAATAAACAAATTATAAATACTGAAACATCTTTAATAGCATTACATTTTTTTTCAAATTAAAGACAAAAGAGTAATTTTATTATAACAATCTATAATAAATTATATCTATTGCTATAATAAAAAACCCATACGATTTAAAGTTTTGTTAATGGTTTTGTATAAACTAACATTTTTTTTTTAATATTAGTTGATAAATACTTTGAGTATCATATTTGATATTGTTAATATTGTTACTTAACTCACTTGCTTAATTTTTTTTTGACATCCATTGTTACAATTACTTTTAGGTACACGTTATTTTTTTTATGTTGTTCTCACACAATACTTTATGTATTTCATCCATCTTTGTTAATTTCTCATCCTTTGAGAATTATTTTGTTTTAATATTTTTGATACTATATGTTCTCTTTATAAATATTTTTACTTGATTTAATATTTATGAAGTATATTAATTAAGTACAAGTACACATCAAATATAATTTTAGTTTATTGTAAAAATATAAAAATACATGGCTAATTAAATTCATGGACTTGTTTTGGTAAAATCAATGTATAGAATAATAACAATTCTTAATTCAATAATTAGATAATAATATTAGTATAATCATACTACATAAAAATAGATTAATTCAATATTAAAAAAATACCTTTGTAAATTAATTTTTTATTAATTAACATATAAATTAATAAATTGTTAATTTATTGATTATATCATATCTTAATTAATTAATAATTCTTTATGCTTTAAAAAATATCAATTTTATTTATTTTTTTTAAACGAAAAGTTTGCCTCATAATTATCAACTCTTCATTCATCCCTGTCTGATTCTCACACAAAATATAAAATCTTTCTCTGCCCGGCGGGTCGGCCTTGTTTAATTCTAAAACCTAAGAATAGACATCAGGCGAAACTGAGTTGAAATGGAGGACTACAGAGACGGGAAGCTAAGCATATACAGAGCAGCAAGAAGCATAAAACGCAGAGACAACACAGTCTACAACGCATTACGATCAATCCACGAAGACTCAATATTTGTGGGCGAAATCTCTCAATTATGGCCAGACCTTCCTCTTATAGCCAACCTCCGCTGTGGCCTCTGGTACTCTCCAAAATTCCATTCTACTTGTTACTTCAAATCCACTGATGGTCACACCAACAATTGGTCCTTCAATACCTCTCGCCTTAATCTCCATGTTGCTCTTCTATCTGGCAAGTCCTATTAATGACATTTTTCAATGTGGGTTTTTTGTTATTTTTGTAGCTGATACTGAATTTTTGGGTTCTTGTTAAATTGGTTAGGACAGAAAGGAGGTTGTATTATCGTGGATTCTACTCGCAAAGGGAAGAGGTTTCCTGATAGCATGTCCAAAACAATACCCATTTGGACGTGTGTTTTGAACCGTGCTATTCTTAATTATAGAAATAAAATGCTTGATTCTGGTTTGCTGATGAATAGGGTGAGCTTTTTCTTTGTTGTTTATATGTCTTAATTTAATTCGATCCTACTTCCGTTTGTTTTTAAATGTTGTCTTGGAGTATATATGGCTCATTGCAAGTTATATGTAAGCGTAAATTTTATTGCTTCTTGATGTCGATATGGATTCCTTTGTGTTGTTGTCTTTCTTCTATCGTGCATTTGTGACCAAATTGCTTGTGACAGGAGGTGGCAGATTATTCTAACTGTGCTGAAGATGTAAAACTAAAAAATCATAATTGGGATTGTTCTTTGCACTTACCACTTTGGGTTCCAGATACAGAGAAAGCGGCAATTGAGGAACGTATAGAAAAATGGACTAACCAGTTGGAAGCAAGTGGAGCTGATATTGCATCTATTTCTTCCTGCTTGAAAAAACCTATACGCCCTTTATGGATATCACAGAAGACTGTAATCTGGTTAAATGAAGTACCTGATCATAATCAGTGGGATTTCACTCCTATTATACTTGTTTCTGCTTCTTCTTCAAGTGATGTTTTTCGAAATAAGACTACCTCAGAGTTTAGCTGGAATTATATTCCAGGAGCTGGAGACGATGAAGAAAGTTGGGCAAGGGGTTTGACACCCACCCATTTCTGGAGTCATGTGCATGATCTTATTAGTTCAGGACCTGATCTTTGTAACCAAAAGGTAGCTGATATAGTTGAAAAGGATAGAGTATATCGTGCTCATAGGGGAGAGTATGCTCCTCAAGTTACTGTCAAGAATCTGAAGATGGCTGGTGATGGGGCTGATGTTTCTAATGTAGAACTACCATTAGCTTTAAATATGCATAGTGATGATACTACTTTACAGCCATCTAATGATTATTGTTCAACATTTTGGATAGGATCAACCAATCTTGTTGTAGGAACAACTAAACATGGTATGCTTTCTATTTCTTTTTTCTTTTGTTAATTTGGCATGTTAATATGTTAATTCAAAATATTATCCTGTTCAAATAATATTCCATTTGATTTCCAGAAATTTAGGATTCATTATTTTGAAACCACTATTTTATTCCTGTTGTGTGTCTTGTCTCATTTTTTGAACAGAATATTTGAGCAGTAAAGAATATGTGCTGTTTTTTTTTTTGTTTTTTTTAATGAATCTTTTCTCTCTAGCATTTTTTGTAGGGAATGTCTAAATGGTAAGAATAGAAAACATGCCAATTAGGAATTGAACTCTCTTTAACTAGACCTGTTACAGATCAGATTTTGTTGCATTTTCTTCAAAACAAAAGGTTTTAGCAAAACCTGTATCTTCTTATGAAGAGCCTGGTTGATCTGTAAGATATCAAAAGAACACAATTTCTTTTAGTTTACTATTTTTTCTTCTTCTTTTTTTCTTAAATAGCTTGGTGAAATTGAAAAACAGTACATTATCCCCAGTTTAATTTTCATATTTGATATTATGAAAACACATTGAAATCAGATTATCATGAATGCTTAAAATTCTTGCATGCCTTTTGATTTGGAATCTTAAATTCCAAAACGTGGCTTATTTTCTTATCTATCAAGTAGTTGTTTGATCACACAACTTTTCCAAAGTACAACACAATATTTCACACATTTGCACCATCTATTATGAGCAAAATTTTCTTTTCAAGGCATTTTGAGTACTGTTTAGCAGTCATTTTACGGTCCATTGATTTTTGGAAAGTAGCTTTTTAACTTGAATTATCTATTATTTTCATAAGATGGTTCTGTTCTATATGAATATAGGTCTATAATATTTTCCCTCAATAATCCGAAGAAGCTTATCAACTGTTCATTGCATCCCATTCTTGGTGGCATACGATGTTGGCATGCTTCTGCTGAATACTATGAATAAGCATTCTGAACACCAGTATCTTTTATTGAGAACAAACTCATGTTTTTAGATTACTGGTTTAGCGAATTCTTTTTATATGTCCAGTATTTTCTTTGGATTTCCGAGCTCATGAATCGAGGAAAGACTTACCTTATTTATATTGTGTCGAGAGAGGGAATTTAAATGGTCATAAATATGGAATCTATTAAACTGATTCTGTATGAATAGGAGTACTGTCACTTGGAGAATGTCAATGGCAGAGGGCGTTGCTTGTATTTGATGATGGTGATGGTATTGGAGTAGGTGAGGCTGCTTTAGTAGTGGTTCCAGTGAACGAAGTTGGTGTATGTTTCAGGTGCTAGTCTCTGATATGGGTGGTACTTGTCATTGTGAAGACTTTGGTGGGTTTTGGAGGCGCAGAAGGAGGTGATTTGCATACTATATGATACTCGGGCATATATTGTTTTGGGGAAAGTATATCAAAGCGCCTGCAATATGGTGTAGTTATTGCTATGGCTATGAGAATATGTGAAACACTGTAGTGTTGTAGGCAACATGATTAAGTGGTAGATCATGTCGTTCAAGCCATAATACATGATTTTCCATTTTGTTTCTCTTCTTCTTACACTTATTTTTGTGTTTACTTGTTGATGCAGGTGCACTTATGTCTAATGTTGATTGCATATTGAACTGTGATAAAGAACCAGTCTCTATCAATCTTCCAGATTCTGAAGCCCATTTGCATCTTCCTATGGTGGTGTGTAAAATGAATTGTTTACAAGATTTAACCATTTTCTGGAAGCACTATTCTTTTATAGGAATGTTGTTTCACTTAATATAACTTTTTTCTTCCAGAGCTCGAAACTGGATAGGTTTTCCTTGTTCAACAATCTTCCAGCTGTGGTGAACTTTGCAAAATTGAATCTTAGAAAAGCACATAGACTTCTAGTTTGTTGCCGTAGTGGTAAGGATCCCTCAATGAGATCTTGCTAGTTATGATTTTTATTGAATATGCTTAGTGATAGATTTGTTGGGGGTTTTTTTAGCCCAATCTGGTTTTATGTTTTAGCATTTGAAATGATTTTTTCAACATTTGTTCAATACCATGTTGTGTATTTTGAACTTCAAAAACAGGGAATACAAGCATATGTGATTGCCCTTTTGATGGCTATGCTATGGATTTGCTAGAGAAATGGAGTTATTAATATTATTTTTATATATTCTTCTTGTGAGATCTCAGAAACTGTTAGATGACTGCTAATATGTCTTTACTTGTTTCCAGGTGAAGATATCAGCGTGTGTGTTTGTCTAGCTATTTTGACATCATTATTTGATGATAAAGGTATGATGCTTGCATATGGCATTGAGATTGTGCCATTCCTGGCGCTCAGCGTGTGTGCTTGTGTGTGTTTGTCTAGCTATTTTGACATCATTATTTGATGATAAAGGTATGATGCTTGCATATGGCATTGAGATTGTGCCATTCCTGGCGCTCAGAAAAGAGAAATTATACACCAGAAGAATTTATTTATTTATTTTCTTGTTTTGTTGTTGAAGATATGATCGTGCTTTCCCAGCATATATTTTGTTTGGCCTCTCATTCTCATTTTGTTGGCATCAACCCTACTTGCTCTATTGATCATTGCCAAATAATTTAAGTATGTTTTCTTGTAATTCTCATTTTCTGATGTTTGGCCCTTGGATGATCAGGAACTTTTGATGATGGAAGATCTTTCAGCGAAACATGTATTACTAAATTGGAGATGCGGCGTCGACTTGTATTTGTCTGTAAATTTGCAATAACTGCTCGACCATCAAGAGGAAATTTGAAACAGGTTTTTGGTTTTCTTACTGGAGGAACTGCTGCTTCTGCCTGACAGTTACCCTCCGCTTTAACATTGTTGAGCTGCTTGTAGGCTGGCATAACCGCATAAGCAATAGCTTAGGACACTTCTGGAAAATCCACAGCTGTGCATCTTACAACATTGAGCAAGACTTTTGCAACTATTCATAACCGCTTGCACTGTAACACTGAGCTAGAACTATTTTTTTCTCTCATACATCCGTCTGCACAAGGTCAAACTTTCTGCTGAACTAGGATTGCACTGTTCTACTATTTGCTAATCACCATTTCTTTCCATTGAGCGCTCATGCCTGACCGTAACATGGCATTTTAGAGAAAGTAATTGAAAAGCGTTTCTCGGGGTGATAATTTGGTAATCCGCGCTATGACATTGCTAAATATACCCAATTACCACCCTTAATCTACATGCAGTAGTTGTGCCCAGTCCATTGCTTTGCCCCTTCTAGTGGTCTCATAGTGGCCGGATGATGACCACCCTTTATTCCACCGTTCAAATGGATCTCTTCTTCAAAGTTCAAATGCTTCTTTTCTTTATACATGAATGGATATTAGGCTTTACAGCAATAAAAGCAAGCTTATAAAGATACATGCCACTAAAGTTAATCTCATTTGTGATAGTGGCTGGTGTCTCCTTGATCTTTTTTGCATGGCCATAATCAGAAAACACACCACTAGCGGGGAGGGTGACAGGAAATCGAACTAAGAAAGCAGCATGGACCCCATTTTGGGAATGGAGGTGATGACCTTCTATTATTTAATTTTCTTACCTCACGTTTTTTGCTTTCCATTAATCATCATCTTTGACGCATTGTTTATTTCCTTGAGTTTGTGTGGAAGGGAAAGGAATTGAATACAAAATAAAACCAGTACGTGACAAAATGTTTGATCTATTTGCCTGATGATGAAATGGTTTTAGGTGAGTGTTTGCAGGATTTATTCGTCGAGTTCTTTCCTTGCATTAAATAGGGATTTATCTTTTGGTGTGACACATATAACAAGAAGAAGAAGAAGGAGCCGCTGGTAGAGTCAATCCCATCATCTTTAAAATACTCTGTTATTTTTCTGTTCTTTTGCACGCTCCTTGGATTATTCTTACATCATAAACAAACTGGTGGATTGGGATGAAAGTTGAGGAAGTCCCACCTCGCACGTCTAAATCCCACTTTGTTACACTAATCAATCAATCAATCCATCCATAACTTGGATTGCAATGAAACTTTTGTCTCTCTCTCTCTTTCTTTTTCTTTTTCTTTTTCTTTTTCTTTTTTTCTGCTCTGCACATTTTTTCTTGGTAAAAATATAATTCTTAACATAATAATATGGAATATAAACAAATATGATTAAAAAGAACTTTAAGAATAGATACTAACAGTTGGATCGATGAACCTGGAAGTAGATCCCATTTAGAGATTTTAATCCAATATATATTCTGAAAAGTTTTTTTTAATTATTATCATGCTATCTAGATGTTAATCATTATTCTTTTTTAACAATGATTGTGATATATACTAGAAGTCAAAAATTGAAAATTTTATTTTGTTTATTGATATTAGTGTTTTTCAATCATTAAAAGTTTACTCACAATTGAATAGTAGATTATCAAATATATGCTGACGAAACCTCTACAAAAGAGCAAGTTCCTACTAGATTGAGTTTGCCTAAAACAAGTGAAATGATGCTCTACTAGGATGTCTAGAAAGCTTTAGTTTTTTAATATAGGCTGTTCTTTAATATAAGCTCTATTTGTTTGATGCAAAATAATTATTTTAAAAAAAGTAAATGTTGAGAAAATAAATTTTTAAAAAATAAATTATTTTATGATGTTTAGTAGTGTAATGGAAAATAAGTTAGAAAACACTTTCTAGTATTTAGTTATGTCTTGAAAATGTGCTGGAAAATAATTTATTAATGTTTTATTTTTCTCAAGTTTATTAAAATAATGAGGAACAAATCTTATAAATTAAAAATTTAAATGAGGATGAAATTGAAAAAAAATATAATTTCATAAATTATCCCAAATAAAATAAATAATAATCAAAATAATAGAGATCAAATCTAAAAAATAAAAGATGAAGAATTAAAATAATAAAAATTAACTTTTCATAAATTATTTCAAATAAAATAAGTAACAATAAAAAAAATGAGGATCAAGTTTGATAGATAAAAAATTTCAATAAAAAAATAATATGAAAAAAGCAAATAACATTTATACAAATGAGGACCAAAGTTAATATACAAATTAAATTTTTAGACATGAAATTGAAAAATAAATATTCAAAACAAAAAATATATATATAGAAATCAAAAGTTTGAGGATCAAATTTGATATAATCAACAAATAATATGATAATTCTAAATTTTTTATAATTTTTAGAAAGTGTTTTTTGTTTAAAAATCAAGCCAAATTTTTCTTTGACTAGAAAGTGTTTTCTGTTAACCAACTTTTCTAATGACAAATAAACACATGAATGTTTGAAAAATAATTTTTTAAAAATCACTTTTTGAAAAACAAACACAGCCGTAATTAGAATTTATTATAATATCATAAATTAAATATTACTGATAAATTTATAAATAAAATTATAGCATTAGTTATTTTATAGTACAAAGTGTCGTGTCATCGTATAATTTGTTTTTTGAATGCTGCTATAATATCATATGTAATTCCATCAATATACATTAAGGGATTATTTCTATCAGTATATCTATTGACAAACTTTATTGTCAGGTTAGTTCCGTCAACAAAACTGTTGATAAAAGTCATACTTCATCGTATTTTTTATATTTTTTATTCTTTTCTTTTTCAATGCAATTCAATTGATGCATAGATAAAGAAATCTTTCACAAAGTTTATCATAATTTACTAACAATTTTTTTTTATTAATATTTGCTAAATTTATGGTAAAAAGATGTCTATTTCCTTCATATTATGGAGAAGACCAGGGAATTATAAGAAAACATAAATAGTCAACATAGTAGGAGAAAAATTATTCTCTAGTTTACTATTTTTTAATATTTTTTTAATTTTAATTTAATTATTTATTTTATATCATATTTAACTCTCGTTATTTTACTACTATTTATTTATTTATTTATTTTGATGATTATAATTTTTTTATTTTTATATCAGATTTGGTTCTCGGATCTTAGATCGTAGGTAAATCAAGTTAATTCAGGTTGAATTATATCATATTTAACTCTCGTTATTTTATTACTATTTATTTATTTTGATGATTATAATTTTTTTATTTTTATATCAGATTTGGTTCTCGGATCCTAGATTGCAGGTAAATCAAGTTAACTTAGGTTGAATATAATTTTTTTATTTTTTAAATTAATTTTTTAAATTCTTTCATTTAACATTAAATTCTTGGACCTTTAACTTCATGTTTTTTAATGCTTTTCTTTCAGTAAGGTTATCCTAATTCATGAGTTAGTTAAATTAACTTGACTTGACTCAAGTTTTTTTTATTGATTTAATTTTGGTTATCTTTTTTCTAGTTTTTTTTAATTCATTTTTTTTTAATCTTGAACTCATGTTGTGAGTCGTGTATTAGTCAAAATAACCTGAATTGACTAGAATTTCTTTCCCCTATGTTTCTTGTCTTGAAGTTTTTTGAACTCATGTTGTGAGTCGTGTATTAGTCGAAATAACCTGAATTGACTAGAATTTCTTTGCCCTATGTTTCTTGTCTTGAATTTTTTTTTTCATCTTATGGGATTTGGTTATTGACCCTTAAGTTTTATGATTTTTTTTTATTGTTTTTTTGTAGGGTTATCACAGCTTGCAAGTCAATCAAGTAACCTAATTAACTTAGATTTGTTTTTTTAATTTAGCTTAGGTTTTTCACTAGGATTTTTTATAAATAGTTTTTTTTCATTATGATCTTATATCATGAACCATGCGTTAATCAAGTTAACTTGTGTGTATATATATGTGTGTTTGTGTGTATTTTTTAAATTGATTTTCTTTATTCAATTCCATCTAGAAGTCCTTTAATGTTAGGTTATGTACTTTGCAATTTGTTTAGTTTTTCTTTATTTTAGTCTATTTGGGGTTGTGGGTTAGTTAAATTATTTCTGGATGTAAGTGTTTATGAATTAGGGTAGGCAGATAATCACAACGTATCATATATATATATATATATATATATATGAACAAAAAAATTACATGTGGCACATGATTCATGTGCTTGATCATCAGGGAAAAAAAAAGAATACACTGGGAATTCAATGTATCTGCTTGTTTGATTGCAAGAAACAATGTAAAGGTGGTGAGAATGTTGAAATTGCTGTGGCCGCGTTGAATGCTTTTGACCAATTTTGAAAATTGAGTTTTAAAATGCGAGTCTGTAGACTCTGCTCTCTGGCGACGATCAAGAAATGTGGTCAAAATAATGATAGTTTATAACTGCGTGAAAAGTGTCCTTATATTGCTAAGAGCACATTGTGTTAGGCATGCAATTCTTTATTATTAAGCCCCACTAATTGACTGACGTTAATAAGCAAGAACTGGTGATTCTTAACCTAATCTACATAGGTGATCTTCCATAGGGTTAATAAGCAAAAATGGCTGACGAAGAGGGGCGGCAACTCCATTACAGGCGGCTAATTTTTGGGCGGAAAGCCGGGGTAACTTCCATTTATCCACGTTTATTATTTGAACCAGACAACAAAATGAAGTTGATCCACGTTGTAATTAGGAAAGCCGCTTTTAAAACAAAAACTAAACCCAATTAAGGAGTCAATTAGCTAAGATTAGTGCGCGCACAGGATAGTACTGATTAGTGTAATTATACACGATGTGTAAATTCTTATAGTCTTAATGCATCTGTCTCTGAGTAAAATAATGTTCTTCCATCAAGTATCCAAATAAAGAACCATTGATTGATAATTGCACGTGTATAAGTATTGATAAACTTATAAAGTTATGTTGGGTTTCATGGAAAGTATTTACACAGAATTATTTAGGGTTTTTATAAAAATCGTCTGAAGATCATATATTTTTTTTTATTAGTTCAAACCACTTCTGCAGTTACTATAGCAATGATAATGGGGCTAGTCGTGGCTTGGAAGCTTGCAATTGTTATGATAGCGGTGCAACCCCTCACCATTCTGTGTTTCTACACGAAGAAAATTTTGCTGTCCAGTGTTTCAACAAATTTTGTCAAGGCACTGAATCAAAGTACTCAAATTGCAGTGGAAGCGGTCTATAATCATAGAATTGTGACATCATTTGCGAGTGTGGGAAAGGTACTTCAACTTTTTGACGAGGCTCAGGAGGAACCAAGGAAGGAGGGCAGGAAAAAGTCATGGCTAGCAGGAATTGGCATGGGATCTGCTCAGTATATATATATATATATATATATTAATTCACCATGAATCATTGTGATTATTTAAATATTTTTATATAATTTTTGTTATACTAAATATTTTTTTATTTTTTATTTTTATTAGAATAATATGTAGTCAGAATCAAAACATAACAGTAATTTCTAAATATAATAATTTAATAATTTTAAATTTAAAAATTACTTACACAACTATTATGTAATTTTTTTATAAACATTGATAGTCTCTCAATATAAAATTCCTCTAGCGAATTAGTTCAGTGTTCATGTTATTTGACAAACACCAATATATATTAATTTCAAGTATTTCTATACTCCAGTTAATGAAAATAGTTGATTTCTTTAGTAAAGAAAAGAATATAATATAAACAGGTCTCAATAACTCTAATTAATGTCTATTCTGAATAGATAATTGATAAGAAACATTTAGAAATAATGTTTTAATGCAATAGAAATCTCATAATTATAATAATTTTATAATTTTTTATGCAAAATATTTTTGTTCTACGAATTTTATCTTTAAGCTAGATTCATTAATTATACATTAAATTTATTAATCAAATATAATTGAATATTAAAAATAAAAAATATTTATTAATAATAAATATGTTTTACTTGAATAAAATCAATGAAATGTATAACATTGAAGAAATTTTGTTAATAGAATCACTAAATAGATGTCCACAATATCTATTTAAGGAACATTGAAGAAATTTTTGTTTTTTGCATTTTGGTCTTTGTAATTTCCATCATTTATAGTTGACTCATTAAGCTTTATTTATTTTATGATTCAATCTAGAAATAAGTCTTGCGCAATAGTTTAGTGATTCTATTTTAGTTTATCAATAATAATTCCCTCCACCAC